CTTTGATGTACGTCTTTTCATGCCGTTTTCTGTGTGTGATATATATGTTTTTATAAAAACAAAAATGATCTCATTCTGTAATAACATTCTTTTTAAAACTTAATATTCTGTTAATAGCTTTTCATGTCAATGAAAATTTATCTGCAGCATTTATTTTAGTGGCAAAATAGTTTTATATGACTAAACTATCATTTATTTAATCAGATCCCTATTTGGCATTTAGTTTATTTCTAAGAAAACAGCACTGTGATAAACTTTCCTGGACATACAAATTTCTATATCTATTTTCCCAGGACAGTTCCTATAATACCTAGAAATAAAATTGCTGAGTCAAAGGGTATATAAAAACTTTAAGGCTTTTAATGCATAGAGTCAAATTACTCTATCAAATTTAAATTCCCACTAGTATGAGAGTGCTCACTAGCACTACATATTATATTTTTTAAACTTTTAGATATTTATTTTAAGAATCAGGTTTTCCTGCATTTTGTTTGATCATTTCTCTGTATTTATGCATTTGGAAAAATATTTGTGAATGTATCCAAATGTATTACCACATTTATTGAGCGCATTCTATGCCAGGCATTGTGCTAGGTGAAGCATAAAATGAAATAAAAAGTTTCTGCTCTCACATAACTTATAGTGTTATAAATGTTATAACTTATAGTGTTGGAATAGATGACATATTTTACCAGAACTGGGACTTGGATCCAGTGAAAATGAGAATGATGTTCGTACGGTTTGGAGAAGGCATGACTTTCCCCTCTTTTGAGTGAATGGGAGTTTTTTTAAATACTTCCTGCTCTTTTGGGTAGGATATAACTTTGAAAACACATTGACATGCACTTATGCAAGGCCTGGTATGAAACAAATCAGTGGTGTCTACCTATGTTTTAAAATTTGTTTGGTGTTTTCAAAATAAATAAAATTATCTGTCCTTTTTGAAGATCTTGAAGTACTTGTGTTTCAGAGGTATTTTGAGCATGTATAATTACTGCTATTTTAAAAGTCCCTTGAAATCGACTTTTTATTATTCACCTGGTAAAATATTCAATTAAAAATCATTTAGATTGAACTTTGACATTTGTATAGTACTTCCAGTTGAATAAGGAGGGCATCAAATGAATGTCCTGGGAATTCAGCGCCAACAAAAATTATTTTGCTGGTATAGAAAAACTCAGGAGGAGTGAGGAAATACTAAAATTTCCTTTCTACCTATCTTTCTGTGATCTTATTTTTTTTTAATTTTAGGAAGAGATCATGCTTTCAAACCAAATATTGGGATTTTTTCAAATCCTAGAGCAAATAATGTCTCAACATCAGTAGCTATGTCCTGGTTAGAAACCTCATGATATGATATTGGCATCCCATGATATGATGGCTTTGCAACTCTTTGATTGGTCCAGGGATGTAGCTTCTTTGGAATTGCTGACATATTGGGCTGTACAGAATTTATAATAGAAAGAGACCTGGTATGAGAATCAGAAGATCTGTATTTTAGTTCTACCTTTACTGGGTGATCTCTTATGCCTATCTTTTACCTTTTTGATGCTCTAATTTTCTGTTGTAAAATGAGGATGTTACATAGGTTCACCAAAAGTTTATTGCGGAAATCAAATACCTAAAACATAGGGTTATTGAAAGGAGCAAGAGAATTAAAGGATGTGGAAACACTGTAAAGTGCTGTGAGAGTGTTAGACATTATCATTATAATTATAGTGACCTATTTTCCAAACCCAAATTGGACTACATGGTATGAGAGAGGATTTTTGTGTTACTTCCAAGGGCAAGAGGCAGTCTGCAAAATGTAGTTCAGATGTCAAAATATTGAAATTTCTGACACATTTTGATGGTTTATGGGAGCAATGATAAAATATTTGAAATAGTGACTCAGTAAAATTCATGATGTATGATCACTATAATTATGAAATATCTTTCCAAAAGGTATTTTATTTCTCGTATAAGTTCTTTGATTTCACAGAATCCTGAAACTGAGAGGGAGTTTTAAGAGACTCAACTTCAATTTCCTGTCCTAAGTCTTCAGGAGAAAATGCTGGGTGAAGATTTTTGGGGAAACAAGTGTTATAATCTGTCTTGTTACAGTAGCTTGCTTTATTATGGAATATTCTTACCTCAAAAATCTCTCTGCATTTTAACTCTTATTACTTTTTTTCACCTTTAAAAAATATATATATAACAAATAGGAAACTTACATAGGAAAAGAATTACTCTTTTAATCGAAAATTCTTTTTTAAAGGATAATCATACAAAAAATGCCGAAACAATAACACTTAGAATTTTCTATCAGAAAGACTGGAAAACCCTTATAGGCCATAAACATTAAATTCATTTCTTTTAGAATATATTATGTTTCTTGTATGATAAATGCAAAAATCTATTTCATTTGCTTTGATTTACCACCATAATGAACCCACATGATATCTAGCATTAAACGTTACCTAGGAATTTAAAAATTTAAGTTATTTGTTCCTTGAGGGTCTTTGGCTTAATACAGTAGTGTATACAACAGAGGTAATAGTCTATTTCTTGTGGCTATACTAGAAAAACTTTGGTGTTTGTCTTCTCTCTTTCTTTCACCTTGCTTCTCCTTTCATAAAAGGTTTAAGATTTATGGCCTGAGGCTTTATAAACCTTTGTTTTCTGCTTTTGCATTCATATATCAAAACATTAAAGTGTTTATTTTTATTTTCCATGACAAGAAAGGGAATATTTTGGAGTTTATTTTCCCTGACATTTATAGTAACTCAAAAATCATGGAATAGATCAAGTTCATATTGATTGTTCCACGAAGCCTCTGAATTTTCAGCAGAAATCATAAACTAAACTGATGCAGTTAAGATACCCAAATAGTCTGAATTTGGTGTTAATAATCCAGTTGAGGTTTCAGTTTTTACCCAAATGTCTGAAACTTCTGGATCCCATCTCTGGGATTGGTTCTGAAAGGCTGAATGGATTTGCAGCTGGACTAAAACAAACAAATCTATATCCTTGGTTGGAGGTTGCTCTATGAATTATGCATCTGTAGCCTTTGTGTGACTTCAGAGGTTAACCTGGAGAAAGTGGCACGCAGATATACACGGTCTACAAAACTGGATGTGGTAACCGGGAGTTACTATGCAAAAGATATTCTGTCTTGTCGGCACAGTTCCCTTAGAGATTGGGGCAAACAGCACACAAACCAATAGGATGGCTTGAAACTGGCTGTTAATGCTGTTGGGAATTGTTTTTTTTTTGATGCAAGGTGTAAGCCTCATCCTTGGAGATTTCTGCTGCCAGACCACTGATGTAGGACCTTGATTTGTGGGCCTAGGGACTGTCATTCTTGAGCCAGGCACTCAGCTCAGTAAAAGAAATTAGGTGTTAGGGGAGACTGATGCCTCATTAAAGGGATCTCTTTTGATTGAGTAGAGCAGCATTTAGCCCAGTCCTCCTCAGTGGTATTCCTGAAGTTGCCGAGCTTATTATTCGTATCGATCATATGATCTTTGTGCATTCATGAAAAGAATGTCTATTTAATGTGGACATGACCAGCCATCAGAGAGAATAAGTGCCTCACTAAAGCTTAATATGGCTGACTGTTGGCCGTGTGGATGGTAACACTGAATCAATCTGGCTAGATTTTTTTTTCATTGCTGGTATACTATACCATCACAGATTGACCCAGCTGGAGTTCAGAGTTTAAGTGGGTACTAAAGCAAAAAATCTAGCATCCTATGGATAGTTTGAAATGCCAGGTCTGCTTTTGTGGAGTCAAAAGTGTAATATCTTTTATTTTTTTATGCAACTCCTGCTGAAATCTGAAGTCGTGAAATTCAAGAAAACATGGAACTCACACGTTGAGGCTGTGCACACTCTGGCTTAGCTTTGGTGCTTTGTTTCAGGAATATAAATTATATATCCCTGTGTAATTCAGAAATGACAGCTTCTAAGGAGAATAATAAAAGATTCTTTGAGCCACAAAGAAGGTTAGAATATATAGTTTTTTCTAGCTCAGTCTAGGAGGCTCACGGTACGCTGCCAGATAGAGATGTTTAAGCCACACAGGAGTGTAAAGATCACTAACACACAGTGTCTCACATCTTGTATTCAGATCTCGCAATTGATAAGTTAATAAACAGTAGTCATCTGACATAAGATATTAAATCTGTCCAATTATACTGATTATTTTCAAAGTTTGATATCCATAATAACACTAGTAATGCCTTATATCTGTATGTTGATTTATAGTTCACAAAGTGGTTTCATACGTTTTCCAAAATCTGGGCTGACTGTAGTCTTATAGTTATTTGGTACTTTTATGTTACTTGCCAGAAGATAATCATAGTGACCTTTGATTTCATGGAGAAAGAATCTGTCACTAATGAAATTATATAAAACAAATTATGCATTAATTTTTAAAAAATACTCTTACAAAAGGGAAAATTAAAAAGGGAGACCCTTGTAGCCTATTCAGCTTTCCGTATGATAGTAGTTGACAATTGAGAAATTATTTCTTTGTTGAAATTTCGCTTTATCTGAGATAAGAGTCAGTTAAGAAATAACACCTGAATCAGAAAGCAATTCTAATTTAAATTAATCTGAACCACAAAAGGTTGATTGTTTTCATTTTCAAAATCTTTTCTTAGCTGTTTTTGTGATTTACCTTTCAATATTTTTGTGCTAGTGTGGGATACAGACCTTGCAGAAGAATATGCTAAAATATGACTTCCTATTTCATATTCATAAGCACAACTAACAAATACCTTTTTTCTTATTATCTTTAAATTACAAATGTCTGAAGGCCTGTCATAATTGGATGCGTCATCCTGAGATTTAAAAGCGTTACAATTTTTGAACGTGATGTGAAAATGAACACTACTCTAGGGGAAGTGGAGCAGTGCTCGCATAAATGGGGTGGGGCAAACAGAATTCAATTTATGCATTCTTTTCAAATAGTTATTGATTGTAGAAATAAGTAGGAGCCTATGCTTCTCTTTCAGAACTTTGCAGAAAACACCATGAATGAACTCCTTGGCTGGTATGGCTATGATAAGGTTGAATTAAAAGATGGTGAAGATATTGAATTCAGGAGCTACCCTACAGATGGAGAGAGCCGGCAGCACATTTCTGTTCTCAAAGGTAATGACATTTAATGTCCCTTTGTTCATGCAAAGAAGGATTAACTATCTCAACCTGCCAGAATTGCGTTGCTTTGGGACTCTTTGTTGATTATGCCAATGGTTGATTTAAACATACATCCCCTGCAATGCTTTCCCATAAGCAGAATTCCACAGAATGTAAGAGCACAATGTAAAAGAAAAACAAACACAGCTTAATCTCCTTCCACCAATGGGAGAACTAGACAAGAGCTAGGGACCTTAGATGCTGTGGTCCTGCCCACAAATTTATAGAAAGAGACAGTGTTTGCTAGCTTCTAGTTTCCTGATCTCTTTGATATATCATCATTTGTTGGGGACTGGGGCTTTCTGTTAAGTGAAATGTTAGGTTTAGATTTTTGGACTGCAAGAAAGATTCACTGCTCATTTGGTAATCCCCTTCCTTTTTTTTTTTTTTTTTGATAGGAATTCAAAATAGAAGCTCTATTTTTGTTTGTATTTAAAATTTTTACTCTTCTCTTGCCCCTATACTCTTGAATAGGGTAAGAAGAGCAGTAAGAGAGTAGTAGATGATTAGATCCTTATTATTCTATAGGAATTTTCATCAAAGCCCAGCTAAAGAGTAAAAATTACAGAGGCTTGGGAGAGCTGAATTAATACTTATTCTACTAGTAGGTTGCAGTGCCAGATATCTCATGGGGGAAGCCTATATGAATACTGAATTTATGAACCTAAATTTGGAATGAGAGTTTGCTTATCAAAGAAAAGAGGAGGAACATGTGAAGAAACCCATTTGAGGAACTTTAATAAAATGTAGGTAAAACAAATTGTGCATCATCACTGGCAATTTGATCAGTATTTGCATTGCATTCAAAATCTACTGGCATAAACTACCTGTTCAAACATTTTATTTCCAGTCTTTAAGATAGTGCTTTCCCTTCTTATATGCCAAGCAAGGAAATGTAAATGAGCTGTCCCGTAGGCATGTGGAATTGAATGTACATGACAAATTTTATGTTAAGCTTGCTATGAAATTGTACACATCATGTTATGGAGATAGTATCATCAATTTCACTGTAAGTGAAAAATGGAAGTCATGAGTTTATGTTCTATAAACTAATAGCTCGTATAATACTTGGCCTAGGTAATAATCTTTGCCTCTGGGGAATATGGAAAGAGAGAATGCCAGGATATGCTATGAGAGGAAAAAGTTGTTTTCCATGGTTGAGGTTTTTTGTTTTGTTTTATTTTTTAATGATTCACATGCAAGGATAAAATGCACAAAGTTCATATCATTGTAATTTTTTTCATTTTTGTTAATTTTTGATGGATATTATCAATACCTTGTGAAACATCAGTTTTCTTCCCAATGATCTGTCTCCTTCTCATTGGCTCATGTGATTATATTATGGTCTGAGTTTATAAGACAGTGAGACCTAGTTACAATGCTGGGTGGCACGTTTTAGGCTTTCCCCTGGTAGCCAGAGAACGGTGTTTGCTGTATATCACTTTGTAGATGGAAAAGGTTAATTGCCTCTCAATTTTCTATGGGATTTTACAGTGCTAAAATTTATCACCATGATTCAGCTGGGATATTAGCTATCATAGTGGAGCAAATTATAGAGTAGCCCATTGGAAATTTATGGTAACAAGACTAAAAAGGTTCAGGATGGACTGTGGATTTTCAGTGAATTGTTTAAAGATTTGCAAGGAAAATTTTGTTTTGTTACATGGCCATGTTTCTTGAAATAAATAAGGAAAATTTAAAGTCTATTGAATAAGTCCTTTTGTCGTATTGAATATGATTTTTTTTTTTTTACAGAAAATTCTTTGCCAAAACCAAAATTACCCGAGGACAGTGTTATTTCACCATACAATATAAGCACAGGCTATTCAGGGCTTGCCACTGGAAATGGACTCAGTGACTCACCTGCAGGGTCAAAGGATCATGGCAATGTGCCCATTATTGTACCTTTAATTCCACCACCTTTCATAAAGCCACCAGCAGGTAAGTTGTGACTGGAGTTTTCAATGATTTCAGTGTTAACGATTCATGGAAAGTTGTTTTAACTATCTTATGTATAATTATTAAATGCTCAAGTTAACTTTAGTAGAGACTGTTTTAAGAACTTTATAGGTAAGAAATGTTAGAGCATACATTATTTAAAATGTTATTGCTGTATTAGGAAAATTCCCCTGTCTATTACTGCTTAGGCTATCAGCTTTCAACTGATAATATACCTTTCCTACCACCAGCTACAAAAAAAAGTTATTTTCCTTCTCTGAAGTCACCTGTTTAAAATTTTGAAAAGGATAAAAAATAATTTAAAAAACTAAGATATATACAATGAGAGGTTAGTAAGATTAAAAAGTAATCATGGTTGAACTGGGTGGTGCACAAGGAAGGCCGGGTCTCCTCTGGGTTTACTTATAAAAGGGCATGGCAGGCTTGTTCCTCAACATGCCTTCCTCTAAATCGGTTCAAGAAACAACTTAGATTATACATCTTCTCCACAGAGCTCTTCCTAATTCCTGGAAAGCTCTTTTTGAGAACTTTAAAAAGAAAAACAAACCCAAAAAACGGAGACCTGAATTTCATTTGTGTGAAAATGTAATCGGTTCTTTTATATTTCCAGAAAATTAGATGGCACAGTAGATCTAGACGGCAGTGGGCTGAGCATTATGTGATATTGCAAGCTAGGCTATAGATACATTTCACACAGAGAAAGAAGTTAAGTAATACTGTGTCTGGCTTGCTGTAAAATGTCAGAATCATGCTAGAATGCTTAATTGCAACACTGGTTATTTTTCTGTATATTGAATTAAACGATGGTAAATACTGAGCTTCAACAGCAGTACACACTAAAGCTAATGCCCGTATTTTTATTAGGGAAAATAAGTATTTGGTTATATTTCCATAGCCAGCGAAGACATTTGTAAATGTAAGTTCCTAGGCTTATGTTATAGACATATTTACACCGTATTTCTAAGTGTTACTCACATTTTCCTTCATGGTTATGGCCATATTCTCTTGCTTGGCCTACTGCATTTTATCAGTAGAAGTATCCTTAGATATGTCAAGGATACTTAAAAATCCATTTACCTGTCAAAATCACTTGTGATTGTGTTTGTCTACTAATTACTAAAGTAATTGGTGTATCATGTAAAGTTTGCCGTATTAATGACCCTATTTTCCATTGGTTGATTGTTTTGTGATACAGAGGGGCCCACATTTATCTCCCAAGGACCAAAGACATATTTTACAAAGGCCAACTGGGGAAAAGGGGGCAGGTAACTGATTTCGTAAATGTAGAGTTCATGTTTGAATGTATGTCCAGTGGCTTAGATGAGGGGAGATGATGATGAGGGTATCAGTAAGACAGTACAACGACTAAGTGACAAGTACATAGGGTTCAGATTCAGACAGATTGGCTGATCTGTCTGATCTAGGCTTTGCCACTTACCAGCTCTGTGAACATGGATGAGTACATAAGCTCTCTTCTCTTCAGTTTTCCCATCTGTAAAATGGGGATCTCAGTGCTGCCTCATGGGGTTGTTGTAGAGATGAGGTGAGAAAAATGTATGTAAAGCATAGAGCCTGCCACACAAAGGTCATTTAGTAAACACCATACCTCTTTTTCTCTTTTTCAGTCCTTATTCTGCCCTAGAGTCATCATGCACATAATTTGTGCATAAAAGGTGTGCATCCAAATGCAAATTCTTCTCTAAGATTTATTTGAGCAAAGCAAACAGCTTTAGAAATTAGCATAGCTGAGGCTAACATGAGTTCGGCATGCCAAAAAACCTGCCCTGGAGTTTCCTGCTGAGCCAGCCACGTGGAATTTGAGCACACAGCTCCTATTTAACTCTAATTCCACATCAGATCAGGAAATAAATATGCAAAGGGATGGAGGCCAAAAATTGAGCCTTGGAAGTCTTAGATGTAGGAACTCTGAGGAATTAGAAGCCAGAGTAACTGAACACCAGTGGTTTTATTGGTTTTATACTGTCTTCCATGGAATTCCAAGGCGCTCATCTGTTGAAATTAAAATGTAGGGAAGGACGTGTTTAATTTTCTGTATCTGCTATAAACCCTGACTCTGTCCTGCTCCAGAGTTCTATGTGAAGACACAAGAATACAGAAAGGTTCTCTACTTTGAAAGAATTTATTCTATTAAGTCCCTAAGCAGAAACCTTCAGGAGAGATGAATTTTGTTTTAATCATACTGTCTAGGGCAAGGGTTAGCAAACCTTTTCTGTGAAGGGCCAGATAGTAATTTAGGCTTTGTGGGCCATCCTGTCTCTATCACAACTACAGAACTCTGCAGTTGTAGTAGGAAGGTAGCCATAGATAATACATAAACAAATGAGTATGGTCATGTTCCAATAAAGCTTTATTTATAAAAAAGGCAGTGGGCAGGGTTTGGCCCAGGGACATAGTTTCCTGCTTGTGCTAGGGTAAGATTAGCCAAGGTCTCATGATAACAGGAAGGTGAACAGAGTTTCAAAAGGTCAGGCTGTGGACTTTGCCAATGTGCTCTATATAATATTATATGGAAGGGACACCAACAAAGGCAGGAAACTAGTGAGTTTTCAGGGTACATGGTGAGCTCTGTCACACCAGTACTTGTTGAGTGCTTCCATGAATGAATGATGTTCAAATCTTCTTGCACATATGTAAGACAAGTACAGGCTATTTTTGTTGTTCACCGAGAAAATGCTAGTATTTTGTCTGGATTAGTCCCAACCTGTCTGACCTTGACCACAGCTTCCTTGATAGTAAAGTGAGGATTTCATCACGCTTAATTATCCATGGATAAAGTCCACACATTATCCAAAAGCTTCTCTATCTAGCTGATTGTTTCAACTCTTTCTTTGCTAAAACTTTTGTCAGAGTTGTTACTCAGGGTAATCGAGTCGAGGTACGCTCACTGTCAATTTTCTAACTAATTAACATGGCATTTGTGAAGGGAACTAATAAAGGAATACAGTGGCTAGAAGCAAAATGCCCTGAGTAATCAGCCCCTGAATAATTTAGAGTTGACTGTATCACATAAATGTCCACCTCTCAAGATAGGGAAGCTGGGGATCATGTGTATGCTTTGTATTCCTATGTTAGTGTTCATATTCTTCCTATTCTACTGTAAACTGGCTATGTGAAAATGCTAATAATAATAATACCTTGTATTTATAATAAATCTTTTACATTATGGAATTCATTCACATTCATTATTTAATTTTGTCTTTATAATAACTCTGGGAAATAATGTGTTAGATATTAAATAAAGAACTGAAGCTCAAATAGGTTAAATGGCTTTCTCATGGTGACATGGCTTCTAAGTACTTGAGCAAAGACTAGTGCTAAGGTTTTCTGTCTCCTAATCCAATATTCTTTTTTAATATAAAGTTACCTTTTCAGTATATTCCTATAAAACTTCCCTAATTTACAATCAGAATAATAATGCTTATTAATATACTATTTCCAGATACCCCAGTGATAAAAGATACAACTTCTTCCTGCTAAAGGTTGTTCTGTAAAGTCAACATCTTTTGGGAGACTCGATAAATTCTTCTCTAACCCTGAGAATCTGTGTTTCTATTAACCTGGATGGGCTGGTAGGGATAAAATCCTAGCTTGGTTTTGGAGTGCTTGCCATCATAAGACAAGTTGCTTCTCTTAGGGGGTACCAGAGGGCTCCATCTGGTCATGCACTAGTTCCCGAGCATGTGTTTCATGTGCCTGGGTAGGTTCTCCACTAGATCCCATCCATGTCTTGGCAGCTAGTGGGCCAAAGGGAATTCGTGATTGGGAACACGGTAATACTGCTTTTGCTTGGATTCCCACTCTCTTTGCAGAGCTGCATAAAGAAGTGTGGGTTTAGCTTACTTCTGGGCCTGGAGAACTGCTGTTCTGGCCCTGCCTCCACTTTTCTCTGGAGAAGGGGAGCTCCCCATGTTTTGGTGATTACCACAGCATTGACCCTGCTTTGGCCCCATGTGTTTGCATCCATCTTCCAGGGCTAAGCTGCCCTTCCCCCCTCACAGACAGCCTCTGGCCTTTGGTGTACAGTTTGTGGCATCACAGGTGTTACTATGATAACAGAGGTGTTATAAATGCAGGATAATAGCCCTGCTTTTTTCTTTTTTCTTTTCCTCATGCAGTCAAGGGATGATCACCATGATCCATAAATAATACTCAAACACTTTTCTGTAGACTCTAGGAAATGAACAGAATAAGGCTTTGCCACACAGGGCAGCCATTTAAAAAACTGTTTTGAGGATGTTAGAAAATAATAAAAATAATAAATAATAAAAAGGATTGACCAACTCTTTCTTTTTATACAAACTATATTCTTTTAGTTTGAACAAATGTGAAAGCCTCTTTCTTTGCTAACTTTAAAAATCACATGAACATAGTCTGAAATGGCAAAAAATATATTAGCGGATATTTTGAAAGATAACAGATTAATTACATTGTAATATTGTTGTAATTCTTCTCATGTTAGAGATTTTAGTATGGGCTCAACCCTTTGGGACTTCATTCAAAGAAGGTTGTGCTTGTAAAGGCCTTTTGGCACAGATTGTAAGAACTGCGCTGTAGTGACTCGCCATTAAAATACTTGTCCCTGTACTTGGTTCCATTAACTGGATGTCAGTTTTCTGCAGTGGTTGGGCAGGTATGGGTCTCCCTGCCTTGTCGACTTCTGGTCAAAGTAACCAAAGTAGGCTGTGGCCCAGTTGGAACCCAAACCAGGATTTTCCCCCTCCTAGTCTTAGGCTTGCTCCATGACAACATTTTGCTCCCAAGAATTAAAAAAAAAATCAGTTGATAAAACTCTTGGTGTAATTGTTTTTGTTCACAAGGAAAGATGAAAGATGTTCAAAGGGCAACTTTTTCTAGAAAGATTCTGTGCTGCAGAAAACACTGTATATCTAGGAAACCACATTTTAGATCTGGGTCTTTTGACAGGTTTCCCCAGAGGCTTACAACTTGCCTATTCCAAGTCC